CCACAGCGCCTGCGCTGCAGCATTAGTGCGCCGAACATCCCCCAGAAACCGCGGGCGCTGATGGTCCGTAGTCATGGTCGCGCAGGCTCCGTCGGCGACGCGTGCGGATGTTGACGCCGCAGTTGCACGGCTATCAAGAGGCAGGCTGTGCTTGTTCATGGTCCACATTCTGAGTCTGAGCAAGATGCAGCGTCAGCGTTAATGCCTTCGTAGCCTTGTCGCTCCCCCCCTGAGTCTCTGTCCATGAACTTCAATTTGCCACTGTCGTAGAGAGTGGCGCGAACTGCGATCCGCGCGCGGCCCTGGAACTGCCGCCCGCCATTGGCCAAGCTCATCATGTAATTGAACGCGCGGTTCGGGTCTTGGTCGCTGCAATCTTCTCTGCGCTCCAATCCCAACGCGGGCTCTCAGAAACCTGTCGGAAAAAAAAGCGCGCAGCGTCCGCGGCCTCACGCGCGCGCGCCCAATGTCTCTGCAAATGCCACGGTTGCGGCGCGCCGGACAAGTTGCTTGCAAGCCGCCTTGTCAATCTGAACGGCCTGCCGCAACCACCTCATCTGCGAATGCCACTGGTCGCGCATGCGTGACTGTGGAATCGGCGCGCGCATGTCCTAGCCATCATGATTTTCGCGTCAACGTGCATCGATGCCGCCAGGGGCCTCCTAAGTAAACGTACGCCACCTCCAGCTTTCAACATTTCCACTAGCTGCGCCGAGTAATTCCTGACCGCAGAAGAACAGTTTGAGTCGGGATCGACGTCGTCCAGCTGTGACTCCTAGCACCATCTGCGCGCCCCAGAACTCAAGGATTTGTTCGCGGGTAGCCCGAGCAGACCTAGCCTTGACGCCCTAACCCTAACACTCTGATCCGAACACCCTGACACTGCACCCTGACCCGCCAGCCGCGAGTCCTACCACCACCTGAAAGCTAACGCCATAATCCCAAGACCCGCTCTATATCTAACTCTAACTCAAACTCCGGCTCCAACTCTAACTATAACTCCAACTCTAGCTCCAACGTTAACTCTGACTCCAACTCTAACTCTAACTCGAACTCTACCTCTAACTCTAACCCTAGACGGCCGGCAGGGGGGGGGGAGGGGGGGGGGAATCTGCCAGCGGCGCGGGGTGGGGGGGGATAAGGAACAGGATGAGGGGCGCGAGCAGGATGGAGCGCGATGAAGAGCGCGAAGAGGGAAGGCTGAAGAGGACGAGGAGGAAGAGGATAATATGGGGCCCCGCCTCCGCGCCTGGCGGCTGCTGCCGCTTGGGCCCCCGCCGCAACTGCATCTGCTGCAGCTGCTGCGTCTGCGGCTGCATGGTCTGCATCTGCTGCAGCATCGCGTCGGCGCTGCTGGGCGCCGCCGCCTTCGGCTGCTTCGCCTCCTCGGGAGCGGGCGCCGCAGGCGCCGCGGGCTCCGTCGGCGGAGGCGCCTTCGGCGGCTGCGCCTCCGCCGCGGCCACCACGACGACGATTGGGCTTGGCGTCGGGGCGAAGTCGGCCAGCGCGAGCTGGCCGTGCTCGCGCTGTCCAAGCGGCTGTTTCGCCTTTCCCTTCTTGGCCAGCCACTCCTCCTGCGGTGGGCGGCGGCGATGCTGGTCTCTTCCTCATCACCTTCCCCCCCCATCCCCCCCCCTCCCAAGTTCGCCCCCCCTCGCCTTCCCCTCCTTGGCCAGCCAGGGGCCCCTGGAGGCACCCTGAGTCCTGGAAGCCGAGATGCTTCGCAACGCCAAAGATGCAGCCATGATGCCGCGGCAGCGGCGCTGACTCCACGCTCGAGGGAACCTGCCTGCGCTCCTGCGTAGTCGTCGTCGTCGTCGTCGCCACCGTCGCCGTCGCCGTCGTTTTCGCGGTCGTCGTCGTCGTCGTCGTCGCCGTCGTCGTCGTCGTCGTGGTCGTCGTCGCGGTCGTCGTCGTCGTCGTCGTCGCCGTCGTCGCGGTCGTCGTCGTCGCGGTCGTCGCGGTCGTCGTCGTCGTCGTCGCCGTCGTGGTCGTCGTCGTCGCCATCGTCGTCGTCGCCGTCGTCGTCGTCCCGCGGGCAGTTCTTCTCGCGGCCGTCGAACGCCCCCTTGAAGCTCTCGTGCAACTCTGCGCGGGCCTCCACCCGCAGATCGGCGACCTCGAGGTCGGGCCGAACGCGCGCCGCGCGCCATATCGCGACAGCGACGCCATGGGTCGAGAGCCCCGCGGCGGCAGGCGCATTCCCAATCGCCGCCGAGATGCCCCAAGGCCTCGCCGGGGCAGGAGGGAAGGCGAGGGGGAGCTGGGAAGGGGGGGGGGCAGCAGGAACAGTCGCGAGGAGGGAAGAAGGACGGGGGGGGGGGGCCAGAGGGCGGAGGGGGGAGGGGCACCCGGGTGGGGCGCGAGGACGAGGGGGGCGCGAATGACGTGGAGGAAGGGGAGGAGGAGGAAGAAGAGGAGGGGAAGGATAGTGGCCCCCCCCCCATCCCCCCCCCTCCTCCTCCTCGGAAGCCCCCAGGGGAGGGGCGCGAAAATGCGCGGCGAAAAATGGCGCCCGCCCCCCGGCGACCAGCATGGCGCGAGCCCCCCCCCCCCGATCAAAGTGGCGCAAGCCTCCTGAACATGCAACGTGAAAACGATAGCTTCGTTCGCGTTCGCAGACGCCAGAAAACGCGCGCAACCCCGGGCCATCCCCCCCCCACCCACCCCCCGGGCATCGGATTTTTTTTTTGGGGGGGGCGGGGGGGGGGCTCCGATCCTTCTCCTGCCCCCCCGTCCTCCTCCCGCTCGTAGTCGCCCTCCTCCTCGTCGCCATCCCCGCCCACCCCCTCCTCCCCCTCCACCTCCTTCCCCCTCCCCCTTCGTCATTTTCGCCATCGCCATCCCCGGCGCCACCGTCCTCATCCTCCCCCTCCGTTCGAAACGCGGCGGCCTCCGACTGGCGAACTCGGGGCAGCTTGAAGAGCGGGATGGAGCCAGTCGTGACCTTCGTCGTCGTCGTCGTCGTCGCGGCCGTCGCCGTCGCCGTCGTCGTCGCCGTCGTCGCGGTCGTCGTCGTCGTCGCCGTCGGCCTTCGCACCAACGCCGAAGGCGAGCTTCTTGTCATGTCGTCGTCGTCGCGGTGGTCGTCGTCGTCGCCGTCGTAGCCGTCGTCGCGGTCGTCGTCGTCGTCGTCGTCGACCTTCACGCCAGCGCCGAGGACAAGCTTCTTGTCCTGCCCGGGTTGCTGCCCCTGCCGCTGCGGGGCCTGCTGCGGGACCTGCCAAATCTGAGGAGGCGCCGAAATCTGAGGCGGCGCCCACATCTCCGAGGAGGCTAGCGCCACTCCCGGCTCGGCAGGAAAAAGCAACGGCAGGATGGCTAGAAGAAGGCATGAAGAGCCAGGAAGCAATTGCAGCCAAAATGGCAATGGCAGGAAGGATGGAAGAAAAGGCAAGATTGAAGGATGGGTTAAGGTAGAGATTGTGGATGGAAGGATGTATGGGCGGGTGGATGGGTGGATGGATGGGTGGGTGGATGGATGGGATCTGGCGGCGGTGCACGTGCAATGGGTGGGTGTGTGGATGGGTAGAAGGACAGAAGGATGGATGGATGACCATGCGTAAATCGATGATTCATCACCACCGTTTCCACATGAACAAAAGGCTACTGATCTAAACCTCCCTGGTCTCACCCCCCGCGGAGTTTTCAGGACTCCTCCTCCTCCGCCTCATTTTCAACATCATTCCATCTTTGAACATCATCATAAACCCACATGCATGACTATCATCACCGTCATCATGAGATTATCATCAAAGGTGTGCTTCCACTCATCTTCTTTATCTTCACCACCCCCTCGACCCCATGATTACCATCATCATCAGCATGAACATCCTGCTCTCCTTCTCCCCGTGTTCTTCGCTTGCTCCTCCGCCCCTACTTCCTCCTCATCTTCACCTCCGCATCCCTGCAGGCATCCCCATCATCCTCCCCATCAGAATAGACACCACCATACGCATCAACACCTCTGCAACAAACATCGCCATCGCCATCATCAGCATCACCATCACCATCATTATCATCAACATCACCATCATCAGCATCATCATCAGCATCACCATCAGAAGCATCATCAACACCACCAGCATCAACCACACCATCATCATCAGCAGCATCAGCATCATCACAATCATTTCCATCACCAGCATCAGCATCACCATCACAATAACAGTCAGCATCGTCGTCAACATCATCCTCATAGACATCATCATCAGCGCCATCATCATCACCAGCATCAGCAACATCAGCAATATCATCATCATCGTCGTCATCATTGTCATCATCATTACTCCTCATCATCAGCGCCACCACCATCAACATCCTCACCATCATCATCATCATCATCATCATCATCATCATCATCATCATCAGCGTCATCGTCATCATCATCATCATCATCATCATCATCATCATCATCATCATCATCATCTCATCATCATCATCATCAGCAGCAGCAGCAGCAGCATCAACAACATCATCATCAACACCATCATCCTTATTCGTAAAATCCCTCCCTCTCCTCCTGTTCCCCCTCCTCGTCCTCCTCCTCCGAAATCCTCATCCTCTTCATCCTCCTCTTCTTTCTTCTTGTCCTCCTCTGCCTCCTCCTCGTCCTCGTCCTCCTCTTCGTCCTCCTCCTCCTCCTCCTCCTCCTCCTCCTCCTCCTCCTCCTCCTCCTCCTCCTCCTCCTCCCCCTCTCCTCCTACTCCTTCTCTCCCTGCTCCTCCTCATCCTCCTCCTCATCCTCCCTCCTCCTCCTCCTCCTCCTCCTCCGCCCCTCCGCCTCCTCCTCCTGTCGCTGCTGTTCCTCCTCCTCCTCCTCCTCCTCCTCCTCCTCCTCCTCCTCCTCCTCCTCTCGCCCCTCCTCTTCCCGATCCTGGTGCTTCCCGCGATCCTGTCACTCCTTCTCGCTCTCCCCCTTCTCATCCTCCCCCCCGCTTCCCTGGAGGGCCCCAGTCCCCCACCGCCCCCCCCAACACCTGCCCCAGGCCCACGCGGGCCTGCGCAGACAGCTGCCATCCCCTTGCGGCCGCCTTCGCCAGGGGACCGGAGACTCCTGGGAAGTCGCCCACGGGCCGGGGGAAGGGGTGGAGAGCGCCGCGAGGCCAGGGTGCGGATGGATGGTGGGGCAGGGGGGGGGGAAGGAAGGAGGAGACAGTTGCGAAAGGGGGAAGAGGAAGGGCGGCTGAGAGAGGGAGGAGCAGCAGAGAGAGAAAGGAGGCTGCACGAGGCGCCCAAAAGCACCAGGCGGAACCTCGGCAGGCCCTCCCAATCAGCTACGAATCGAAGTGACAAAGCATCCCCCCTCACAGATCGGACCGACGCACGACTGGCTCCACGACGTGAAAGCGGGGAAGACAGCGAACGGCAAGAGGGAGGCAGCGTGCAAGCACGTTTGGAGAAACTTTCCGACAGAACGACGACGACGACGAAGACGACGACGACGACGACGACGACGACGACGACGACGACGACGACGACGACGACGACCTCCAGCCATCGTGCTACCAGAAGGATCGCCAAATAAGGAACGAAGAGGCTTTTTATGGCCACAGCGGGCCTACGCCACAAACAGGTCCACTACATAAATCTCAAGAGCCCGAGCCCCTCTGGGGAAACCAACTGGTAACGGTACCGCTGCTCCCCGGACCTCTCCTGGGATGCGTTCTGACCAGGATTTCGAAGCGAATCCTACGGTGGTGATGAAGGACCACCAAGAGGTTCTCAAAGGGTAAAACGGGCGGAGAGTAGCGGTATGGGTACATTTTCCACCTCCGACCCTCCTGAGCCCAAAGAGGTCCTTATTTCAGTGTCCCGACCGTGCAGTTGCTGCAGCGGCTCCTGGGTGCGAGCGGGGCCCGTAGATCGGCGTGCCGCTGAGGCTCCGGTAGCTGGCGCGCAGCAGCGGAGAGGCCGCGGGCCAGAGCATCGGCGAGGCCTCGTCGCCTCGGCGGGGGCGCTCTGTGACAACCCAATGGAGCCCTCCATTTGGGGGTTGCTAAAAGTTGGGCGGCAACGATAAGGGGGGGGAACTGGCACAGAGGGGGGAGCATCGACCTGGAATCGGCGAAACATCGCCGATAGATCGGCGATAGGCCCCCGATAGTGAATCCGAATGCTCCTGGGCAGGTTGGGGCTATCGAGCCCCTATCGGCGATCAATGGGCGATTGGGGGTCGATGCGTCCCCCTATGCCTATCCTCCCCTATCGTTGCCCGTGAAAGGTGTCCCTGGCCTGTGGTGTTGGGTCCTCGTTTTAAAGAGACGGCGCCCGGCGCTCCTCCTCATTCCTCCCGCCTCCTTCCTCCTTTCCCTCCTCCCCCTCCTCCTCCGCCTCCTCCCTCTTGCTGCACAGGTCCCGGGGATCCTCTCAACAGAGTATTCTAGAGTTGAGCACGTCTTCGCGGCACTGCCATCGTCCGCCGCCGCCTCCCTGCGTTTCACCCACCCAGTACAACGTTTCGTGGCCCCATAGGGAGCTCCACCGAAGGTCCCAGTGGGACCGCCCGCATGCCTCAGCCACCACTTATCACAGCGTTTCGTGGGCCAAATAAGGGAGCTCCACCAAAGGCCCCAGTGGCACCGCCCGCATGCGTCAGCCACCACCCAGTTCAGCGTTTCGAGCCTGGACCCCAGATCTCCGACGATCTGATGTTTGCAGCCTGGGCTTTTTCCTCGGCTACTGCCATCGCTATCGGGCCCTGGGGCCGTCCAGAACGGGTCTGGGACGAAGAGCTGCTCCAAGGGAAAGGGTGAGGACCTCCGGGGGACGGGCCAGACATGCCCACGTCGGGCAAACATTGGGACGAAAGACCCAACCATATGTAGTTGTGAGCACCGTCGTTGTGGGTGTCGCCTTCAGTTGATCTCCTTATGGGCCACGAAGCGTGTGAAGGGCGTGCCGACATGGGGCGGGGTCGCCATGTGGGCGCTGCCACCGATGCCTGAGGTAGAGCCCCCCGATGGGGCCAGGAACCTTGTGAGGGGTGTGCCGAAGCGGCGGTGGCGCCCACATGCGGGCTGCGCCACTGGGGCCTCAGGTGGAGCTCCCTATGTGGTCAGGAAACGTTTGAAGGGTGTGCTGAAATTAATGGCTGGGACGCATGCGGGCTGCGCCACTGGGGCATTGGGTGGAGTTCCCTCTAGGGTCAGGAAACGTGTGAGGGGTATGCCGAAACGGGGGTGACGCCCACATGCGGGCTGCGGCAGTGGGGACTTCGGTGGAGCTCCCTGTGGAGCCACGAAGTGCGTGAGGGGTGTGCCGAAGCGGGGTGTCGTCCACATGCGGGCGGCGCCACTGGAGCATTCGGTGGAGCTCCCCAGGAAACGCGTGAAGAGGTATGCCGACACGGGGGTGTCGCCCACATGCGGGCTGCGCCACTGGGGCCTTAGGTGGAGCTCCCATGGGGCCACGAAACGTGTGAGGGGTGTGCCGGAACGGGGTGTCGCGCACACGCAGGCGGCGCCACTGGGGTCATCGGTGGGGTTCCCGAGGGGGACACGAAACGTGTGAGGTGTGTGCCGAAGCTGATGGCGATGATGGTGTTTATGACGGCGATGCTAATGACGATGATGGTGATAATGACGGCCATCAGGTCGATGATGATGCTGCTGATGCTGATGCTACTGCTGATGCTGCTGATGGTGATGATGAAGACGATGATGATGCCGATGCCGATGCCGATGCCGATCTCGATGCCGATGCCGATGATGATGATGATAATGATGATGATGATGATGATCATGATGATGATGCTGCGTAATCATCATTGATGATGATGGTGGTGGTGATGATGACGATGCTGATAGTGACGATGATGATGGTGATGCTTATGATGGCGATGATGGTATGATGGCGACGATGACGATGCTGACTATATGATAATGATGACGATGATGCTGACGCTGATGCTCATGATGATGGTGATGAAAATGTGATTGCTACTGATGCTGATGCTGATGATGCGGATGCTGATGCTGATGCTGCTGATGATGATGACGATGATGACGATGACGATGATGATGATGATGATGACGATGACGATGACGATGGCGATGATGATGCTGCTGCTGATGATGGTGATGCTGATGTTGATGACGATGATGATGATGACGATGATGATGATGATGATGATGATCCCGCTCTCCCAAGGGGGCCGCTGCCGACGTGCACACTCCCCCTGCTGCTGCTACATTATCCCCAGCTCCCCGCACGCTCCCTCGAGCGCGACCTCTCTCGCGGCGGGAGGGGGGACGGGGCGCCGAGGTCGGCCTCTACCCCCCCTTTGGTGGGGTGGAGGCCTCGCTTCATTCTGCGGAGCCCTTCGGCCTGCATGCTTGAGAGCGGCCGAGATGGGCACTCGTCGCCGAGTGCCATGACCCGACGGCTGCGGCAGTACCCGCCGCACCGCACGCAAAAAGGCTAGGTCTCCCGTCCGCCACATCCTGTGGGACGGGTGGAACCTCGCGCTCCACCAGGGGGGCCACGTTTCCCCGAGACCAGGTCCAGGCCCAGGAGGGCCCCGCGACCCACCCGACCTCGCCCACTGTGGCCCCCTGGTGGAGGAGCCCCTTCGCTGGAAGGGTTCTCGATCGAACTAACTTGCGCTGGAGACTGCTGCTCCTGCTGCTGCTGCTGCTGCTGCTCCTCGTCCCCTCCTCCGCTGGCCTCCCCCCCCGCTCGCTGCGGCGGCTCCTGCTATGATGCCGAGGAGCGCGGCCGCGCCTGCGCCTGAGCCCTCGGATCCCGAGGCGGGCGGGGGCGGTGGCGGCGGGGGCGGGTGGGAAAAAGCGGGGAGAGGACGGCTACTCGCCGCGCATCCGAGGCAGCACCTGATGCGTCTTGCCCCGACGAGAGCCGACGAGCCGTGCCTCTCGCACGCGCGGGCCGAGCAGCGGCCGCATGGTGCGATCGAGCGCATGCGGCAGCCAGGAGCGGCACATCTAATTATCTGGAGGCCAGGCGCAGCGTAGCCGCCGCTCGCCGTGAGCCAGCTGCTGCCCTCCTGCGGCGCCTGGCCGAGCATCCTACCCAGGCTCTCACCCCATTCGTCGGCAATGCTCGCAACCTCGACCAGCGCGGGGAAGGTGGGGTGGAAGCTGGCGCCCTGCTTGGCCTTCAAGTCGGCTAGCTTGTTGCCCCGCCGCTTCCACTCCGTGGAGGACCCGACCAGGACGTCATGCAACGTGGCGTGCCCCTTCACCTTTGTGTTCTGAATGGCGTCCCTGCCTATGTCGTGGACCCGCTTCCAGAAGGCGGTCCACAGGCCTCTGTACGGTCTTGACCAGCATAGGCACCAATCTTCGCCTGCCTCCCAGCCGTCTCCGAGCAGCTGCGAGTCGCTGAAGAGGTGCACGGGCGGGAGACAGTGGGCCAAGGCCTCCACTGCCGCCAGCAACTCCTCCGAGCCCGACTCCTGGGCGAGCGGCCATTGTACTGGCCCCAGGATCGACGAGGTCGCGGCGCCCGTGTGGTCCGTCGAGCAAGCTGCCCATCCCGCTCGCGCCAGAACTCGGTCCTGGGCGTGGGCCGCCGCACCGTCCAGGAAGACCTCTCCATGGAGCGGCTCGCCCGCCCACGGCCCCGCTGTGCGCACAATGCGCGCCGTGAGCGGCAGGGGGAGGTCACTGCGCGGGTCCTTGACCAGGCGCCGCGACCAGATGGCGTGCTCCGCGTCCGAGTCCAGCGGGCCGCCTGTGTCGTAGAAGTAGCTGATGTTGAGATCGTCTGCCTCCCGTTGCCTGGCCGAGGACCACCGCGAAGCAAGGGCGTGGTAAGCGAGCTGCTTCGCCAGCCGCCCCCTCAGGCCGTTGATGGCCGCGCCGCCCTTCCGGTGGCCCCGCAGCGGGTCGTGGCTCGCCACGTCCCTCCAAAACTTCCTGATGAAGGCAGCCTGTACTTCGCGTTGGAACGCGTGCCTGTCGGTCTCGCGCAGGTCTAGGATCCTCCCAAGGTCGTCCGTCCAGCGCCTGATGTGGTCAGCTCTCCCGCCGAGGCGCGCCGCGGCAAGGGCCGCTGCGGAGGCTGGGCCCCCTTCCCGCCAGGCCCTCTGGCCCGCTGGCGGTGAGGCGCTCGCGCGCCGCCGCAAAGGCCGAGCCGAGGGCGCGCCTGTCCTGCTCCTTGACCTGCTGCAGCGCCCTCGCCCACGCCTCCATGGGCTTGGCGACGCGGTCGAAGAGCGGGTCGTCCCACGGCTTCGCGGCCAGCAGGTAGCTGAGGCAGATGCTCCTGCCAGGCCCCGTGCCGAAGGCGATGGCTGCGAGCTTGGACCTCCATCTCGCCAGCGCCGATGACGACCAGGCTATACAAGAGATATCGTATGATGTAGCGGGCTTAAGTCCAGCATTGACGAGCTTGACTGCCGCTTCCTTCCTTACCCGTCGTATCTGGTGGGCACGGCCGAGCTGGGCCGCGGCGGCTTGGCGTCGGCCAGCAGCCACCCCCCCAGCTCTGGCGCCCATGGCGTAGCACACTCCCAAGTTCCTGGTCTCCTTGGCATGCGCGAAGGAGCCCTCGTCCATGTGGTACTCGCTGAGGCGGTGCAACCTCTCGGTGGTCCCCAGGATCTCGCTCTTGTCCCTGGAGACCACCGCGCCTATGCCCCGCTCCAGGCCCCTGATGACGGCGCACGCCGCCTTGCCTAGCATGATGCCCACCTGCGCTTCCGAGCCAGTGTGGCGCAGGGAGCAGTCGTCGAACATGATGGCCACGATGCAGTAGTCGAGCTCGGACGGCGGCGCGTCGGCCGCGACGTGGCAGGTGCCGAGGCCCTCTTCGTTGCATACGACCTGGCCTCTCACCGCCTCCAACCAGAACCGCGCCGCGTCCGAGGAGAGGGCGGGCTCCACGTTGACGTCCCCCCCGATCACGAAGGACCTGCCCGAGGCTCTCAGCGCGCGCCCCAGCGTGCGCAGCGCCTCCCATGACGCA